AGTAGCAAAGGGAAAAAGACTTTCATAGAGATTTGTGAATGCACTCAATCCACTCTCTACGATCTCTGCCTCTATGTTGGGATCCAATGGCTCAGTCTCTGTGAAGTCCAGTTCCCATACTGTATCTACCCATTCTAGAAGAAAACACAATGAAATTAACAAGTACTTTAAAAAGTTAAAAAGAAAAAAAATCACCTCTAGACTCCAGACACATTCTACAGGAATAAATTCATAACTTAGACTTAACATTTCTGGTTTTCTTGTACTGGTACTAGGGTTTGAACTCAAGGCCTCAGTACTGTCCTTAAACTTTTCCTACCCAAGGCTAGTATTCTACCACTTAAGCCACAGCTCTACTTCTGGCTTTTTGGTGATTAATTAGAGATAAGTGTCTCACAGACATTTCTGCATAGGCTGGCTTTAAACTGTATTGCTTAGATCTGAGCCTCTGAGTAGCTTCGGATTACAAGAATGAGCCACCAACACCCTAGTAACACTTACTTATATAAGTAAACTATAACTAAAGGGAAGCAGTAAAAGCTGGGTGCTGGTGGCTCACACCTGTAATCCTAGCTATTCAGGAGGATGAGATCTGAGGATCTCGGTTCAAAGTCAGCCTGAGCAGGAAAGACCGTGAGACTCCAATCTCCAATAAATCACGAGAAAACCGGAAGTGGCACTTTAGCTCAAGTGGTAGAGCACTCGCCTTGAGCTGAAGAACTGAGGGACAGCGCCCACGTCCAGAGTTCAAGCCCCACGACCGACAAAAAAAAAAAAAAAGGAAAGCAGTAAAGATTAAGCAAACCTCCTTTAAAAAAATTACAACTGCCAGGCACTGGTGGTTCATGCCTGTAATCCTAAGTACTCAGGAAGCTGAGATCTGAGAATCGCAGTTCAAAGCCAGCCCAGGCAGGAAAGTCCATGAAACTCTAATCTCCAATTAACCACCAGCATACTGGAAATACTGCTGTGGCTCAAGTGGTAGAACGCTCGCCTTGAGCTGAAGAGCTCAGGGACAGCACCCAGGCCCGGAGTTCAAGCCCCACAACCGACAAAAAAAAAGTAAATAAATAAATACAACTGACAGCTAGCTATTAAGTTAATCAGCTAAAAGTATCAAGAAAGAAAATACTTTTTACATGTTACAGCTGGTTACCTTTAATGATCAAGATTCCCTATAAGGAGAATAAGGACAATAAGGAGAACCATCAATAATGGCCTCAAGTGTTTCCCTGTGAACATATCACAAACAAGTTAATAAATTGAAGTGAAACAGCACTTCATTGGGCCCTGGGAGGGCTGGGGAGGGGGAGAATATTGTATGTTAAAATAAAGATACCAATCCTTGACCTTCAAGAAGTTGAAACTAGAGATAAGCCACCAAATTCACAGACTTACTCAAATGACTGCCAAACACAGAAATGGGAAGGAGATACTCTGAGAAGGTGACACTGACACATTCTAAGTAGATTCTTTGCCAAGCTCTCAACTCTAAACTTTCGTATACCTTTTTTTATATAATTTTTTTATTATCTTTAAGTGGTTGTGCAAGGAAGTTCCCAATCTACAAAAGAGTATATGAATACAAAGTGTCTGATAACATTGTCACCCATTGCTCCTAACCCACCCCTTCTCTCACTTTTCTTCTTCTTCTTTTTTTAATTGATATTAGGTGATTGCATACATTTCACATATTTCACAGTATTGTAGAATAGTGATGCTTAGTTAAAGTCACAAACACATTTTAACCCTCACAAGGCAAATTGTCATTATCATGGTCTATAAAGTCTGTGAATTCTATGAGCTTTGACAATTATTTCTTCTACATCAGGTGATATTTACATTTCTTTCCTTTTGCTTAGTGTAAGCTGTTCCTTCTTTCCCTCTCATTCCTCCCTTCCCATCACTGTCTTTGGGTTGCTTAGTTCATTTTCATCTATGTCCAGCTGATGGGCCCCTCTGTTGTACTTTCTCATACTTTTTTAAACAGCTATTTTCTTCAGGCTTTCCCCTACACCTATAATTAAGACTAGATAAAAACATGTCACGTCGGACACATTATTAGCCTTCACATTATTCTTCACTTATTAGTCTCATATTAATATTCTTTATTTTCTCACCACTAATTTAAAGTGGTTGAACAGGGTATGGGAATACAGGAAAAAAATAAAGATAGAAAACCTCCACCTTTATTTAAATGCAAAGCACTGCACTTAGCTAGATTATCCTCCTGAGAATATAATCTGCCCATAATCTTTTGTCACTTGAGCTTGACCAAGAAAAAAGAATTATCTTGTACTGCATGGCTTAGCACAGGAATAGGAATGGAGGGACACTGAAAAAAATACAACTGTATCCTTCTGCATTATTGACATAGGATCAAAAATATCTTGATCCTTGTTTTATCCCCATTCTTAATAGCTTATTCCTGTCAGTGGCATCAAATTTAATTTGGAAGGCAGTAACTGCCCTGACTTCATAGTCCTCATAAAAAGATATGTATGGCTTTGGCCATTTCTAACACTTCTGAGTCTTTACTACTTCACCTATCAGATGTAAGTTAGTAATGGCTATCAATTTCACAAGAAGAGTATTCTATTGTAAAAGTTTACTAAAAGGTAACCTAAAAGATTAAGTTTATTAGAAGGCAAACACTCAATTTAAAAAAAGAAAGAGAGAAAGATCTAGTATCAGACAACCTAGATCGTATATAGTGACTACTTTTATTTAGCTTTACACTTCTGTCAAATCATTTGACAGTTTATACAAACCAAATCCCTCATTTTCTATTTTTCAACTGGAGAACATTCAAATAGAGATCATTCCTGTCCCACCTTCCTCACTTGGAATGGAAGAGGAAGAAGTATGCTGTTTATTCATTCAATCAACATTTTATGAAAATATATGCACAAACCTCTAGTGTAAGTGCTAGAAAGATGAATGCTCCAGGTTCTTGTCCACAAAGATCTCATTGTCCCACAATTATAATACTTTACATAGTAGTTTATGATAAAAAAAGAAAACAAGCTTTGAGTGACACAGGACAAAGCTATTACACTGACTTGGTCACTTACATAGAATTAATCCCCTACTCCTCACTGGTAAACAGGATTCTTGTGAAAGACAAGATGCTAAAAGGTCCAGATTTAAAAATAAAATAAAAGGTCCAGATTTTTTTTAAAAAAACCTCACTATTACTTTTACAATGGATGGATGTCACAACAGTTATGTAAACTGTAAAATAATGAAGTCTAAATAGGGAAGGAAAAGCAGGGAGGCACATCTTAGAAATCACAAAAGAATGAAGGTACAAAGGGTTTGGAAATAAAGAAGAGTCACAATGTAGAAGTTTCGGCTGGGAATCAGACTATTAGTAGTATTTGCTCAGCAGTTATTTTGTGCCAGGGCACTAAATTCACTTCACAAAAGCCATGTAAGGTAGATATAATAACTCATTTGACAGATAAAACCAAAGCATAACAAGGTTAAGCAACTTGCTCAATGATACTGATGCTATGCAATAGAAAGTATGGCTGAAGCATCTGTGACCAAAAGTTATGGGGAGAGCAGGCTGCAGAGAATGGGGAAGGCTCCTAGGGTAAACCGTGACAGTTAACACCAGAAAGCAGCTGAGATACTCTGCAATGGTCCTGGGTGTCTATAGGGCTTGGAGCTGGGCACCAGTTCAGGAATGCAGACTGAACGCAGGACACTTGTGATAGGGGTGCATGAAAGGAAATGCAGAGATGCCATTAACTCTCAGGTTTGTGGCTTGGGTGATGCTATTCGCTGGCTTTGGTAATCCAAGTTTTTTTCAAGTGACATTTGATGATGTCTGCGTATGAGACATCTATCTCCCTGAACGAGGGACTGCGATTTTTTTTAAAAAAAATAAGCCTAGCAAGAAAGAGTTGGGTGTCTTTTAGAGATACCCAAATAGAAATATCCAGGAAGACTTGACAGAATAAAGAAGCGGTGGGCGGGGAATACAACATAAACACACATGTTGTAAGAGCCAACCAACATTAGCTCTTTTTTCTTTTTTATAAACCCGTTACTTGACTGGATTGAGCCTCTAAGGTTTAAGGCGGCTGGCGACGATTCTGGCGTGTCACAGCCCTGGGGATACACAATGCCCAGAGGGGCACCCTCATTCTACCCCCACCCCCAAGCGGGCTGAGATACCACTGGGGACACAAAGCACCCCAGCCCTTCTCCCCGGGACCCGCGGCTGCGTCTCCTCACCGAGGTTGAGATCCACCGGGCACCAGGGCTGTAGGCCGCTCCCTAGGCCCCGCAGCGCCACCATGATACCGGAGGAACCGGCTCCCCTCCGCCAGGCACAACTTTCAAAGCTCGCTCCCGCGCGCGCGCCGCGATGTTCCTATGGACCAATCACAGCGTACGGAATTTATAATCGACCAATCACGGTGCCCACCTAGTTTCATTCTCTCAGCCAATGATCTAGGTCGACCGTCGCAGGCGCAAAGAATGGGGCGGGGCGAAGACGAGAGGCTAAACAAGGTTCTCGGGTGCATTGTTTTTCTTTGGCTTGCCCTTGAAATGCGGACCCAAGAGCTAAGTTAAAGCCTGGTAGCTTCATTCCCGACTCGTTTTGCTTAAGTGGGAATAGGTGTAGAGACAGGCTGAAAGTACTTCCTGTCATCTTTGCTGCCTGTCAAGCGACGTTTCTTGTGCGTGTCAAAGGGCGTCACGTCAGGCAGCATTCGAACATTGTGCATGTCTGAATGTGGATGGTAGCCAGAAACTCAGCTAAGAGGGCAAGGAGGAAAAGCAAGCAAACCCATGCCGAGAGGACATCAGTAGTTGTGATTTATGGAATGTCTGGGCCCGAATTCGACTGGAAAGAGGCCGGGGCTGCCATGTCAACTAAGGGAGAGAGGAGGAGGGTGGGGAGGAGAGGCCGTCTTCCCACGGTGCACATGCGCAGAGAGCACACCTCCTGGCAACCTGGAGGCTAGAGAGCCAGAAAACGCTGTGCGCACGCGCCTGGCATCTCCAGCGCATCCGGGCTGGAGCTCGCCGGCCCCCTCCCCCGCCCGCAGCTTCCGAAGCACCCTCGGTGCGTTGCACCGCCGGAGGCTGGGCAGCTCGCTGTGCTGCTCGGCGCTGGACCCCGCCCGGTGGGCACGCACGCACACGGCCCTGCACTGCTGCCTTCCTCAGCATTGCACGGCTGACCCTCGCCTCCTCCCTGCCCTGCAGCCGGCTACCCGGGCTTGCTCAGGACTGGCGACGTGCGGTGCATTGCTCCTTTGAGCGTTGCTGCTCGGGGCGCTGCAGCCCGCAGCCGCCTGCCTCCCCCGTCCAGCCCCTCCCCAGCCAGTCGGTCCTCGCCCACCGCCCGGCGCAGCAGCAGAGCCGGGCTGGGCTGCGGTGCGGCCACCTAGCGCGCTCCCGCAGCGGGCCCTCTGGCCTTCCTTCCCTTAGGGCAGCCCGCGCCTCGGAGGAAGGGAGCTGTCCTTAACTGAGACCAGAGGGGCCCGGCGGTGAGATGAGCTTCTTCGGCTTCGGGCAGAGCGTGGAGGTGGAAATCCTGCTGAACGATGCGGAGAGTAGGAAGCGAGCGGAGCACAAGACTGAGGACGGGAAGAAGGAAAAATATTTCCTCTTTTATGACGGGGAGACAGTCTCCGGGAAGGTGAGCCTTTCCCTCAAGAATCCAAACAAGCGGCTAGAGCACCAGGGCATCAAGATCGAGTTCATCGGGCAGATCGGTGAGTTGACCCTTGGAATCTTCCTCCCCCAGAGCTGTCAGAGAGCCTGGGCATGGCACTGGGGAGGGCGGGGGTGGGGGGAAAAGGGGGGTTTCAGGACAGGGAAGCTGGAATGTTTGAGGGCCCAGCTTGGATGAGGCCTGTCACAGGCTCTTGTCAACAGCAGTCTGAAACTAGAGGGGGGTGGGGGTGTCAGCCACAAGTCTCGCCCGTGGGCGACTCCCCTAGCGTTACTGCCCTCCCTGCCAAAAGTGACAGCTCACAACTGGGAGATGGAGACAGACAGAGGACGGGAGGAAGCGCCCTGCTGTGAGGTTGAGTGGGCACCTGGCCCCTAGGTATCTTTGTTGACTCTTTAACATATGATCAGATTTGCTTCTTGACCCAGGATTTCGCAGTGAGGTGCTCTGGGACATAGCTTGCAGGTGGGTTTGTTAGGGGAAGATCTGCTCTTCCCATAATGACTTTCCCATCAACTGGACATCTCAGCTGTCAGACCCTAAATTAAGCTGTGCCCCCACCCACTCTCTTTTTTTCTCTTGAGATAAGGTCTGAACTACCTATTCTGTACACGTTTTGGCAGAGAAAACCTATAATCTTCAATCTGACTGCGAACCTACCTACCCTATATTTCTTATACTTCCTTATTAGAATGCTAGTCATCAGTTGTCCCGTTGCTTTGTGTTTTGTGTTTGGTTGGGTTTTTTTTTTTGCCTTAAAGACAAAGAAAGGATATTTCTAAAGTCACAAATAAATGATCGGAATTTGCCAACGTTCAATGAAAGTCTTCAAACCTAGTTACTAATCATTAGAACTAGACAACAAAAGGCAGTAATAATAAAGATTTGGGGAAACTGCCCATCAAGATTGGATTTTCTTCGTCTAAGATTATTTGGAATCTTAGGTGTTATTAAAGTGCTCTAAAAGAAGTCATTTGTGTCATGAGGTCAGGAGGAGCATCACAGTAAACACCTCATGGGCAGCAAACATATTGAACATATGGCATGGTTTTAGACTTCCTTGGGAAAGCCTGTTAAGCTCTCTCCTGTCCTGAGTGTGTAGCAGAGCATTTGTTCTCCATTACAAACACTCAGGAAACACTGAGACACAGGAGGGACCTTGGAAAAGAAGTCCTGGTAGCCTGATTCTGTGGTACTGTGTTCAGCCATAAGTTATTTTGCCCATCAGTATTTGAGAAAATGAAATCAGCTTGAGGATGAAATCAGATTGGCTGATTGCAAAGGATCTTTTGACTGTTATTTGGAAGCCAGAATAGGAGAGACCTGATATCATCCCAGAAAAGGGCTTGGAGAGCAGGTTTCATGACTTCTATCTACTGCAATTTTCTTCTGTGTTCCTGCTCCTGGCTTAGATGGCAGGGCTTCTCAGAAGCAATGATGTTAACATTTGGAGCTGGATAATGCTTGGTATCTCAGGAAGTTTAGCAGCATTCCCCACCCCTACTGACCAGACACCAGTGGCATTATCCACTGTGACACAAAAACATGAAATAGTGCCTTCTGTACTCTGGAGGATAAAATCACTTTTAGACAAGAACCACATGGTGGTTGGAGAAAATCCAAAACATTTTATATCAACCACAACTATATGGAATAGTAGAAAACCCTCACATACTAAGAATTGGTACTTTTAAATTGGAGTTTTAAAGTTAATTCTTTGGCACCATAATACCATAATGTCCACAGCTATGTTCAGCCTGGATCCTACATTATCGCTCCCATGTGGAGGTCCCTTGCCAGTATATAGAAGATAATCTAGAATGTCCTCTGACCCAAATAGTAAAACTAGATGGAATGGCGTCACCCTCTATCTAAATAGAAAGGTAGCCGAGGAAGCCAAAGACTATACCTGGCCCACTTGGCCTTTTGTCTAATTTTAAGACATCATCTTTTTTTGTGTGTGCTGGTCCTGGATGTGAACTCAGGTTTGGGCACTGTCCCTGAGCTTTTGTGCTCAAGGCTAGCACTCTACCACTTGAACCAGAGCCCCACCTCTGGATTTTTGGTGGTCAATTAAAGATAAGAGTCTCACAGACTTTCCTGCCCAGTCTGGCTTCAAAACGTGATCCTCAGACCTCAACCTCTTGAGTAGCTAGGATCACAGGCGTGAGCTGTCAGTTCATAGCTTTCTAAGGCACTTTTTTTTTTTTTTTACTGGATTTCTTTTCAGAACTTTCTGTTGCTTCTTCCTGGGCTTTACATACACTGGGCTGAGTTGACCAAGAGACTTGGGAAGTTTTACAACTTTCTCAGTTGTAAAACAAAGATAATAAAATGTTGAGCATGTTAAAAAATCATGCCTCATGCCCTGTATAGAAGATTCTTTTATTGAAAATGATAGTAGTTAGTGTTATAACTCTCCCATTTCACAAATTCAATCACTGATTTACTGCTTTTCCTCTGTACTCTTATATCTTCCCAATAAGACTGCTATACGTAATTATAGGGAATTCACATTTCAACTCTATTGTCTTAATGTTCTTGCTTATGCCGCATGGGCCAGTCATAACTAATGTTGCATGAGGAACCAATCTCATTTGTGTGCTTCAAGTATATAGCTCACTATCCATGATTGAGTAAGAAAATGGTATTAGAAACTGGGTGTTAATGGTTCTCTCCTGTAATCCAGCTGCTCAAAAGGTGGAGAGCTAAGGGATTGTGGTTCAAGGCTAGCCTGGACAAACAGTTAGTAAGCCTTATCTTAATAAGAAGGTTAGGCACGATGGCTCACACCTGTAATCCTGGGAGGTGTAGGTAGCAGGGTGGCAATCTGAGGCTGGCCCTGGGCATAAATCAAGACTTAATCTGAAAAAAAAAAAACCATCTAAAGCAAAATGGGCTGTGGACATGATTGAAGTAGTAGAGTGCCTAAGCCCATATTCAGACTCCAGTATTGCCAAAATGAAAGAAAAAGAAATGGCAGTAGATTAAGATGGATGGATACATATTTTATTGGACTTTGAGATATATTTCTTAATCAAGAATAAGATATTGGAAAAATCTTCCTATCTGGTGGTGTGACTCCTTGGTAAAGCATCTATGTAGCAACCCTAAGGCTCTGGGTTCAACTCTCAATACCACTTTTTAAAAAAGAAAAAAAAATATATCTGTCTTGAAAAACATTTCTATCCAGGTTTGGTAGTAAACACCTGCGATCCCAGCACTCAGAAGTCTTGAGGCAGGATGACCAAGGCCAGCCATGGTCTTACCAAGTAAGACTTTGTCTCAAAGCCAGAAGAAAACAAAACCCTTCTATTTGCATTTGATATAAAAAGAAGTTTGTATTCACACTGATATGAAAAGTACACCAGCCTGTTTGGAGGCAAAAAGCCACTTTCCTTAGGCAGTTCAATTTCATTGTCATCCTCCTAGTCCCACTAAATCAGGAGACACACCTTAAGACACAGGTGGTAGTGGTGAATGTTTAGGGAGAGATGAATCTAGAAAGACAGGCTTGGACCTACTCAGGAAGGACATAAATGTACCTTCCCCTCTACCCAGGAGGGAGCCAGATAAGAAGTTTCAGGGGAAGACTGGCAATATCAGAAAGTTCATCCTTTTATCCTTACAGAAGATGGAGGGAGAGGGGAAACAAAGGGGAAACACACCTTAAGACAATCATAAAACTGACCTAAGGGCACCAGAGCAAGACTCATAGAGAGCATTGCTAAAGTTGTGGTTCTGTGGTTTTCTCCTTCATTGCATTCTTCTACTGAGTATCACGTGGGTAGAACTTCTGTCAGGTTCTGGCGGCTGGCTGTATGGCATACAAAGCTAAGAAAACCATCAGAGTTTATCATCCTTCCTCACTGATTTTGCCCAGGAATTTTCGAGGAGGTTGGACTTTTTGCCCTTGTCTTTCTCTATAACTTGCCCTTCCATTCTCAGTCATACCTCTAACTTCAGTGTCGGATGACTCCCATACTGTTTCTTTGTCCTGATTGGAACTCTTTTATTTGTTACACACCCATCTTTCTAGCTGCCTGCTGGGCCTGTTAACCTGGATACCCCACAAGTGCCTCAGTGACTCACCCCAAGCTCTAATACCCCTCTCTACTTCTGTTGTCTCCATCTTGGTCTATGTTACCTGGATCAGTTTAAACAGAAATCCAGGAGTCTTCTTAGGGCCTTCACTCCTTTTCCCATGTCCTCAGCTGGTTTCTTCAACAGCTCTGTGATGTGTCCTTAATCTGTGCTGCTCTCGCCCTCCAGGCTGCATCCATTTATCATGAGGTCTTCTCCTTGAACCTTCCTACCTTTGTTTCCCCTCTCCCTCCATCTTCTGTAAGGATAAAAGGATGAACTTTCTGATATTGCCAGTCTTCCCCTGAAACTTCTTATCTGGCTCCCTCCTGGGTAGAGGGGAAGGTACATTTATGTCCTTCCTGAGTAGGTCCAAGCCTGTCTTTCTAGATGCATCTCTCCCTAAACATTCACCACTACCACCTGTAGCTTCCTCAGAATAATTCTGTTCTGCACAAGGCCATGAGTTCAAAGCCCAGTACTTTTAAAAAATTCTTTTTTTTCTAGAATCCTAGTATCCTCCCTTTGTATATGAACAGCTTTTTGCAAGTATGACCTTTCACCTAAGTTATTAGTCATCTATCAAAACTTGCAAATATCACATCAATCAGGAAGCCGTACTGGCTGCCCCAGACTGACTTAAGCACTTCCTCTACTATTCTTCTAGGCCTCCTTGATAGTTCTTTTCAGCAATTGTCTGACTTCCTCCCCCCAAAAGCTGGAAACTGCCTTCAGCACATTATTAGTCTGGCGGCTAGTCTAGCACACAAAAAGGGGCTCGATAAATGTTTGATAAGTGGACATATTGGTCAGATCTAAGAATTTACAGAAACCATTCTCTGGAATTCCCCCCCCCAACTTTCTCCTGGAGCCCATTATTTTATTATTTTATTCTATTTTAGTGCTGAGAGATGAACCCATGATATGAATATGTACCAGGCTAGCACTCTTCTACTA